ATTCACCGACGCCGGGAACCGGAATTATTCATACTAAGACGTCGCCTTACTTTATTGAATGTTGAGTATAATCTCATAGATATCATATATCGACTTACATATCCGTGACGCGGAATCCTTAACAGGTGACCCCGTATGATATTAAATTGAATATCACACAGACTATAATAATTTCAGACCTTAAGCTTAAAGCTAAAGCAGTACTAAATTGCATACAATTTTTTTTAATGACACAATAATTCCTTTGAGGCGTTTGGGAAAAGTGAAACGATGCGCGGCACCAACTTCCCAGTGTTGCCATCCGATCACCGATCAACTTTTTGACATTTACCAATAATTGCAAGTAATTATATTAAGTCATTAATTATGGCATGTCTTTTTTCACAAACGAAGATTACTGGCACGGGGGATAAACTTTTTAGTTATTTTTATTTTGTTACGCTAAAGAAGTCTTAACTTCTTAAGTGCTTACGTAAGTACACACATACTTTTTTTTTAATTTAAGGTAGTGCCTAGTGCTTGGTAAACCCACTATCTCAGTGAAAGCCTATTCACCTTTGCCTTGAAGAAACTCACGTCATATTCAGACGGAAAGAGACGCCGGTAAATTTTTGTTATTACTTCGCTATGCACATAATGATAAAGCAATAATTGTTAAAAAGTAAAGTAAAGTAACAGCCTATACGTGTCCCACTACTGGACAAAGGCCTACTCTATACAGAGGCTATCAGGGCATAGTCCACCACACGGCCCCTGTTCCTCACGATGTTTTCCTTCACCGCGGAGCACGTAATAAGTCAGCACTTAAAGTTAAAAACTTCATTGGTGCCGGCACCGGGGATCGAACTCAGGTTGCTCGAGTATATTGAATTAAAGGCGAGCGCCCGGACACTGAGCTATCACGGCTCAAAAAAGAGTAACTGTTGAGTTTCTTCTCAACAGAAACTGCTTTCCGAAACGGTGGTAACTTACGCACGTATTAATTTCTTTGTAAATATCGACGTCTCATATGAACGCGCAAGCGTCTATTTGAATAAAGATATTTTGAATTTGAAATGTGAGGCTTTGACACTGGGGTTGCTAACCGTATTATAACATAGTACCTGGAGGACCGAGCTTTGCTCGGTTTTGTTTTTGGTAAATTATGTATTCTGGAAATAAAAAAAATAAAGAAAATGATCTGGTATAGAAAAAAAGCAAATAAAATAAGTGTAAATGATCGTGATACGAACCACGGCCGTCTGTTTTGGGGCCGCCCGATTACCGACCGAGCTATTATAACATTTTATTTTGCGGCGAAATTTACTGTCATATTCGAATGATATTTTTCATTCCCTTAAAAAGGGATAAAAAAGCAAATTTTCGAAACCTAGCTAGATTTTTTCGCCCCCGAATCTACGCACATACAAAATTTCATGAAAATCGCTGGAGCCGATTCCGAGATTCAGATTATATATATATATACAAGAATTGCTCGTTTAAAGGATAAGATAGTATTGTACTGTATTTTGGGTCTGAAAATATGTAAAATGAAAACTTTTTCTTGGTGTAATGGATCAATTTTCCTCTATCGAAACGAATAACAAATAAAATCCTTACTTCCAAAGGTAGGTTCAAAAGCATTGATTATTTTTAGGTTTAGTTTAAATCTCTGCACTCCAATTTTTTTTATGTGTGAAGGTGGCAAGCTATCTGGCGGTTCACCTGATGTCAACTGATAACCGCAAAAATACTATAATCAACCGAACAAAAACTATAAAGGATACTTTTTTTCAAATCAATGACATCAAGAACTATAGATTAAAAGACATAATACCTAAATCTAAAAGAAAAAAATTATGAAAAATAGACTGGTATTAATGATGCGTTGAATCATCAATAAATTTTAATATTTTTTCATCTTTAAATGTAAGTAAGTATATTCATACTCTCAAGCTTTCATCCTCAAAGGCCGTTTAGACTGCCAATATTATAACTAAAGACGTTCCTTTTTAGATAATTTAGTTGGCAAAAAATACATATAGTTGCTAATAAAAATAACATGTCTTGAAATAACATGTCAGTACAATAAAATTAATCATAGAAATATATTCGTATTATTCTAACAACGTGTCGATACCGGTTGCTTCAAAAACCACTTTGCATAACGATTTCGATGATTGATCAAAGAAGGCTTTATTTACGATCATAAATTTTAAAACATCATTAATAAATGATCACGCAGAAGAAAGCGCATATCCTAAAAGAACATATTACCATGTTTTTTTTTTGTGAGTATAGTTTGCCCCTTATGTTTCACTCTTCCCACAGACTATCGAATAAATTTAACTTTTTCGTGCCTTGCCTTAATCGGATCGTCAATACAGCGACGAAATTTACTTATCTTTTATGTGAAAAGGTGGCAACCCTAACCACCGCCCATGGACATTTGCAACACCCGTAGCGTTGCAAATGCGTTGCCACCTCTTGATAAAGTGGGGTAAGATTACTCACCAGACGATACGCATAAATGTAACACTGACTTTACACCGGTCTTCTGTGAGTTCGTGGTACTTACCCGGACGGACCTGCCTATTTGTGCAACATCGAAGACTGTTCCGTGGTTCTACCCCAAAAAATATTAATTTTTGTGGTACACCACATGCAACGCATGTGTTAATTAAAAATGCGATTAAATATTGAACAACATCGGGCTTCGAATTCAATGAACCGTCTTAAATCGCGCCAATTACATTCTAAGCGCCCATAAGACTGAGTTATCTCGATGCGCGTGTCTAATACTCTCCTCTGATACGGAACGAGATTAGGATCGCATCCAGAGCACGAACAGGACATCGAACAGCGACTATCTTCGGTACGATCGTACACCTTGCACTGATAGACAAATGCTTTATAGATTTACAGTGAGCAATACGTTTGAGCCCATAGAGACCTTGCTTAAGAGAAACATTTCAATACAAACACAAAAAATAAAATAATTACCCATTAACTATAAAAACAACGTTGGACACCTAAAACAATAATTGTACTGCGACATGCTGTTTTGAAACATTATTCATCTTCACATATTACTAAAGGGAGATTTATCTGCTTTAACTTCAGATGGACTAACTTCATTGTGTTTACTTCATGTCGCTGTGCCCGCGCAATAATTCACTCTTGTTACATTGACGTTATACGTCAAAAGAAGTGTAACATCAAAAAATTTAAAATAAGCGGTTACCAAGTGCTTGGACGTCCACATACCCATTGTGGGTTTGTGGACGCTCTGCTAACGTTTAGCGAGTAGTGACCACACGATGACAAACCTCACACAAATAGCATACGCATTAAAACTGAGTTTACACTGAGCCTCTCATACTCATACAATATAACGCCATATTTGTTTATGTTTGTGTGTATGTTTTAAAATATCGCAAATTGGGTATTCCACAACATTACTTAAATTAAATTGAATAGTGAGCAAAGCTGTCACAATCAAGAATAACCTAAACGGGCATTGGTATAAAATTGTAATTTGCGTAAATCCCGCAATAATGGACCATTAACAGCGTAAAATCTCCGTCGAACGGAGCACGCAAGTATCAGTGGTTAAGCGCATTATAAATATCACGAAACGCAATTCGGACACGATTTAACAATAATTTCAAAATAGTCCCAAGCTTGCAGTTCCCATGTTATACTTATTAGGTAATCAGACTTTGCAAAGTATGCTAAACGTATAAATATCGAGGTTAACTTGATCTAGATCTTCTGGAAACTGTCTCTCTAGTCAACTCGATCGTAAATCATTGTCGTTTAGGGTTGTCGGAATATGAACTTCCTATGGTATGAATAACTTTGGTTCGAGCCGAGAAAGCGACTTTTTTCTTTTAAACGGACGCAGTGAAAAATAAAAAATATTTTGAAACCAATTAAAAAGTGCGGTTTAATATTGCTAATACAACATAAATTTGTCATGTCGAAAGATAGAATCCAAAAATTCCTGGTTTTATAATCGCCAATTTGGCACACATGACTACTTTAGAATAGTACTTACTTATATACCAGATGAAATATGTCGTATAGGTTTAGGCGTATAGACGCGTATACAACTATCGCGTTCATAATATCCTTGCCTATTTAGTGTCTATTTCAAGATAAGTCAGTATTTCACGATATATTAGTGCTTTTCATTATAACGTAACTAAGCTATCTTTATCAGTAACTTGGTTCTCGAGCCCTGTAATCGGCTTATGAGTATTCGACGCACTTAGAGCCTATGATTTCTCTCTTTTTCCATCTCGTCATGAGCTCGCAAGTGGGAAAGAGATGGAACCTGCTGCAAAACGTAAATGAGATTATATCGGTACAGGAATTTGTGTTTCGCGTTAACCAGGACTACTCGTAATGTTGATAACTTATCGCTTACGCTCATTATTCCGGTACGATATTAATATGGCAATAGAAATGATCGAACGACCAATAAAATTGCTAAATTCTATAGAAACTTCGATGTACGTTTTCCTTAATAAGATTTAACATGGCGTATATTACTTATAGTTGATAAAATCATACTAAATTACAGGCTACCGGGATACCGTGACATTGCTTTTATATTTCAAAATATATGAAGTGTAATAAAAATAAAACCTTGAGCAGTAACACATCGGACACTTATTTCTTTATTATTATTATCTTTAACCCAAGGACACAGACACTTAAAAATACTTTAAGACGAAGTACGTCCAACAACCAAGTATGTCCCTTGACCATGGACGCTAAAGTTACGAACGCTATAGAATCCGTTAAACTTTGTTAACTTTTATCATGGGATATTGTATACAATTACAGCCTACGTAACAATAGCCCAATAGCTAAATAGTCATAACATGAAACCGAGCTAAGGGATTGCGTCAAACGGTACTTTTCCTCCGTCATTAGGTGTTGTTTAAACATCGTTAGCGCCGTACAATTTTAAAGTAAACGCCATCATTATATTCCATAATATTGTCCAATTATAGCGCACCGTCGCATCCGACAATCTGACTATCGCGTGCGAATTCGCCCAATCCGCTGCACGCCTTCAGTGAAACTGTTCCCGCGCGACCTTTGACACTAAATTCAAGATGGCCGCGCCGCCTGTCAAACTGAGCGCGCTCACTTTCCTTATCTGTAAACCCATTCGTGTTCGCCTCTCCATTAACGTTGCGGGTCATCCATTGTGCCTCGCAAAGAAGCTGACGGCAGCGGTTTCGAAAGAAATTAACCTTATTTGTTATTTGAAATTGTTACAAAGTCTTGCGCTGATTAAATTTGCCCGTAGTATTGAAAAATGGTGATTGTAGCCGACGTAAGATATTTTCAAACACAGCAGTAAATTAAGGTCAAAAGAATATGAGTTACATAGTTATTTAGTTATCAGTCCTTTATCATTTCAGCTTATACGGGCGAAACCATATGAAAGTGTGTTTTTGTATTTCATAGCTCTTTTATATCCCGATTCTTCATAACTATTTGATTCTATAAGATAAAATGTACGCGACGTAAAGCTTATACGCTCTCTTGGACGGTTTATCGCATTATAAGTCAAGGAAGCACAAACGCAACGTTGTAAGACTGGAAATACATCCATAATACCTGATCATTAAAAACAAAAAAGACTAAAAATCGCACTTGAAAAGCAAAGGAGCGGTTTCGATAAATAATTAGCTTTTGCTATTTAAATTAGTAATGATTGTAGTCTCTGAGTACGACTATGACAAAAGTGGAACGTACTTTCGAAGCTTTCGGTAAGCTCGATAGCAGTTTACAAAACCCTCTAACAGTATATCGTAAATTGCTAACGCTTACTTGTTCCTCTCCGTGTTGTCTAAGACAGTCCAAGAAGTGGGACTCACTTTCTACTCTGAGTTAATAGCGGCCTACTCGCGAACGACGTTGTACAGCCGCGGGCGAGCCTTTAACTATGCTTTTTCTAATTCTTTGGACTCAATTATTAAATCTTTTCTGGCAGAATAAAATAAGACTACTGTGGTAGGCGGTACGTCGGTACGGTTACGGTGGTAGGGCCACGCAGCAGCCTCGGCTGTTGCACGAATGGGCAGGCTCGTCCAGGTAGGTTCCGCGACCTCACTGAAGACCGGCGTAAAGTGGAAGTATAATACTTTCGCGTTTCGTCTGGTGAGTGAGGTGGCCGGAGCCCAAATTTCAAAAGGTTGTCAACGCATCTGCAACCCTCTGGTGTAGCAGATGTCTATGGGCGTCGGTATTCACTTAACATCAGGTGAACCGTCTGCTTGGCAACTTTTCACATAAAAAAAAGAAAAGATTCTGCTGTTACACGACTGGGCAGGCTCGTCTAGGGAGGTACCACGGCCTGACAGGAGACCGGCGTGAAGTGGAAGTATTAAACTTTTGCGTTTAGTCCGGTCAGCGAGGTAGCCGGTGCCCCCGTTTTTAACGGTTGTCAACGCATCAGCCAGCCATTTGGTTTTGTAGATGTCTACGGGAGGCGGTATTTATTTAACTACAGGTGAACCGCCTACTCGCTTGACAACTTTTCGCATAAAAAAACGTGTGTGAACTTATGTCAGTTTGGTGTAATCGAATAATTTGGATTGATAGATAATGTCAAAAAGTTGTTATTGGTTGCAGTGGTACCTAACATCGTGAAGTTAGTCGAGGCTGGTCGCTTTGCAACCAACTTCGTGATGTCGCTTTTTATCTGTCGGAGGGCGCGCGCATCGTAAAGTTTTACTCTCATATTTTGTCCAAACGCGCCAAAAGTACTACTTCAAAAAAAAAACAGAAACAAAGTGTGTCGCTCCGCATATTTCTTTAGGTGTCCGCCTCGAAACGTTAAGGCAAAACGGACACGAATTCCAGTCCATTTTCGGAATTTGCTTAAACGGGCATTACAAGTAGTGTTAGTTTTAGTTCGGCCCTGCGGAGCACGGCTTTGCGAATTCCTACCGGCAGTTCGAATATTCTATAGTCGTAAACTATGAGCTTGGAAGTGTTAGTGTGTTAGTTTAGAAAGATCATGCCGGAAAACCTTAATGAAATTAACCGAAACGTTTATATCTACAGATAATTAATGCCTATTTAAACATCGCTTGCGTCATCGATCGTCCTAAGTATTTAGCGAAAACGGTAGATATAAAAAATGTAAAACGTAACAAAACTATTACTTTAAAAACTATATGTAGCATACTTATTGGAAAATGCGCTCATAAAGATCTATAAAGCACCTATCGCAACATTAGCTCGTATATATATATATATATATGCATTAAAAATATATATTAGAATCCAATTACTCACGGACGTCCTTTACCTCTCTTGAAATCTATAAGCGCATTTAACAAGAGCTAAGTAGGCAATGGGAATCCAATAACATGTTAATATGAGTGCCGATCGTCACAACAGAATGTTAATGTGAAGTATACGAGAAAAGCACTACATTTATTACTGTTTTTTTACCTGACTGAGCTAGAAGGAGGGTTAGGTTTTTCGAGATTTTGTATATATATATGTATGTATGTATAATTTTTTGCCACGCTCTGTAGCCTGAACAGTTTGATGGATTTTAGCTTGAGAGTTGTTAGATTATTCGTAATTACTGTGATACGTACGTATATAAAAATGAAAAATTTACACAGAAAGGCAGTCGGCTTTTTTAATTTTTTTTAAATATATTCAATGCTTGTTTCAGATTTCGTTAGTTCCGTGACTATCTACAAAATAGCCACATTTAAAACGCCACGAATATATTTAATGTTTATATTAAAAGTAATAAAATCCGCAATAGCAGTTTAGTTTTATTGTGCGACATTTTCATCGCTTCTTTCCATTTAATAAACTTACGGTGATTACGGAAATCACATTTTGGTTTTATTTAAAATATTTCTAGTTTTTAAAGTCCTCGCTAGATTCTATAATTTCACAAATAATTGACAACGACAATTTTCACCAAGTATTGGCTAGCGTTTGACCACCATCTAATCTAATTAAGTGAAACAGTTTTTACTACGCACTGAAATAGTATTCACCCTTAAGTCGAAGAAACTGAAATTATAATCAAACAAAGACAAGATTTCCCAAAAGTTTAGACTAAGCTAAGAAAAATAACTTAAATTATTCCCTGTGCCGAGTTTGACAGAAGTAATGTTTTGAGAGAATATTTTGGGGTGATGTATTGAATGATATTGTTATAAAACACTATTAAGTAATTTACTGTCTTTGCTATTTAAATTCTACTGAAACTGTTTCGATTGAACTACGTAAAACCAAAAAGATAATCTGATTAACTTGAAAGGTAACGATTTTGTTCATAAGACATAAACTCCTATTACGAATATAACTTAAACTTTATAACTTAGATCAATCTTTAGTGTAACATTTTCATCAACAAGAATTGTTATTCATAGTAGTAGGTACTGTACATGTTAACAACATCGATTGCTTGAAAAATGGCTGGGATAGATTATGGCATAAAAGATCGAAGCTGGGAACTAGTAGAATTATCCAATATTTTTTTTTATGTTAGAAGGTGCTAAGTGAACTGGCAACGCATCTTCAAATCGTCAGGTGTTGTAGATGTCTAAGGGAGGCGGTAATCACTTAACATCAGGTGAACCGCACGCTCGTTTGCCAAATGTTAGCATAAAAACAATACAGAACAGGTCGATGGTTAATCTCCCGTTCTCCTTTCCTACTTCTCCCCAATCGCATTAAGACAACTCATTTGGACTATGATATCTTATTAATGGAGATATTTTTTAGTAGGCATTCCACTTGGCCTCAGCAGAATTTATAAGGATCGCTGAATTCGATCTGTCTAACGTTGCACTAGAATTTAATACATTGACATTCCAGTTGCCATGTTGCCTCGCTTGTACTTGTTTGTTCAGGTAGCGTATTGCGAAATTCTCTAAAGCCAATCCATAACTCAACAAGTGTTAACTGGCCCGGACGTAATTTACTCTACAAATAAAGCCCAATTATCGATTTCGCTTCGATAGATTTGTCCGGTGGTTTAAATTATTTCTCGTGCAATAGTATCGTTAAAAAACTATGTGCGTACTTATGTACGCACGTAAGAATCTTCTTATTATTTATTTTCACAAAGAGCACTGGCGCAGGGGATAAACTTTTTAGTTATTTTTCTCGACATTCCCAATCAATGACATAATGTGGTACCGTTACGGCGCTTACCTCAACTAAGTCGAAGCGAAACTTAACAAATTTCCATATGTTTATTTCGACGGCTTCTCGAGAATACGCAACGAGGCTTTCGTGTTGGCCTGGCAAAGTGGGTGAATCACCCCTGGTAATAAATAATAATGACGGTAAGTGCCGGAATACTCAGAGCGAGTGACGCGATCCGGTCTGATAGCGCAAGTCATTCATTTTATAATGGTTATTCAATATACAGGCAGTCGCTGAGATTTCTACGTATCACTTTTACAACTACTTTTTGCACGCGACATCCCCCAATATTTTTTTTTTTTTTGGAAAAAGCTATCTGTAAGGACAGAAAGTAACATACGTGACGGAAAGTAACTAAGTCTAACGAACCAAATTTATACGCTGTCTCAATTGAAATTTCACCCAAACCGGCCCAGACGATGCGCCGTGATGGTGAAATAGAAATACTTACGTATAATCGTTCACATTTACAACTAGCTTATGCTCCTGACTTCGCCCCCGTGGTAGTGATGATATTGCGGAGAAGACTGCGTTTCGTCTGGTGAGTGAGACAGCCGGAGCCCAATTTATTTTATGGCGGCAACGCATCTGCCAGCCTACGGGTGGTCTATTCTTGTATTAACTGATGTTTGTGCTTTCAGTCCCGAGACTATTAAAGCTTCATCTGACGCAGAACCGGTGGGCTAGCCAGAACCCACGGGTTTGGGCCCTCCGCTGTGGGTAGGGCCACGCATGTGCTCATGCGTGCTTTTAAGTATGGTGTGTCATCTAAGGGCCATCGAGGTCGCGGTTCGGACCGAAACCCCGCTGGCCCTCGACTGTTTAATTAGCTAGTAGGTGGCTGGGAGCGGTGAGAACCGCCCCGGAACGCGGGTGTACCTTGTGTACGCGTTGTGTTGGTCTCGCCGTGCTCGAAGGCGAGGGCGAACTAGTGTGTTTATTGTTGCACTAACTGTGGGTGTAGTGATATCCGGCGGGACCCCCGGCGGTGGGTCCGACGTATCTA